CAACAACCAAACCAGCTACCCTTCCGTCCACGGGACACACAAACTGACAATCGCCAGCTTATGTGGAATTCGATTCCTAACGTACAACGTCAATCACAGCAGCAGTTCCCTAGGAATGCTTACCAGCCACCGCCAAATGTTCCTCAAATCCAGGCTCAGCGTACGTCTTACGTACCGCCTCAGCAACAACAACCACAAGGAGCCTACCAGCCGCGTCAGCAGCAGCAGCAGCAGCCGCCGCAGGGCCAGACCAACCTAGCCGGCCAGCTCTTGCTCTCTGACAAGCCGTGGAATCAAGCCGGTTACTCCAACACAGGCTACGTAGCGCGGCAGCCACGCGCTCGGCCAGCTGCAGCATACCAAGCGGAGCCACAGGAAGTTGCTCCTCCCGACGAGAGCTTGCCAGCGTTTTACGACGGCCAGCACTTCTATGACCCCCACAATGACGCGTATTATGTAGATGAGGAATACAACAGCTATGCGGAGTACCCTGAGGAGGATCCTCAAGCGTACTGGCAGGCCCCTCCTTTTCAGGACAACGAGGACGACCATGACCAACCATGTTACTCCGTGACAGAGGATCTCACACCTACCGCCACCTGCCTACACTGCTCTGCCGCCTTTTTATCCAATAACAAACTCCACGCGCACCTAAAGGACTGCGCTTCGAGACACACAGCAGCCGCAGTCGATGACACCACCGTTGCGTACTACATATCCCAGTTGTGAGGGATGGATGATGACATACGTATTATTAAGCAGCGTACTTATCCTACGCAACAACTCTATAGTAATAAGATCATTTTTACCACAACCAGCTTAATTCCATAACAAAATTCCTAGACTTCGTGGCCACAGGTGCCCTTACTAATCATTTCTTTTCCACTTTCAAATCTAATATTCACACGCCCCACGTTTCCAAATTGGGCTTGATTTCCCTGATCTACATTCAAGTCCGCGGGCATGCTACATTTTATCAATAAAACGAGATGCTGATCGAAAATAGGCAAAACGCGAAATAGATCTATTTTGTAGTGGATCTTTAAAATTTAAACTTTGGGAACCTGATCGTTGTGCATAAATTGGGCTTCAGTCATACCAAAACGGGGTGATCTGATAACAGATAAAGGGAATACTACGGAGTACTCCGTAAATGGATTTGAAAAAAATGAGTATGGTCTTATTTGGTGGAGCAGTTGCATATAGCCATTGGCAAAAAAAAGCAGGTGACCAAAAATGGACAAAAAGAATTGCATCATCCGTGAATCGAACACGGGCCTCGTCGATGGCAACGACGAATTCTACCACTAGACCAATGATGCTATTTGATATAGGTAAGCCAAGGTCACGTCATCTATTCCCAACTTTTCACCCAATCTCATCTCCGCCTGACCAGAAGCTCGACCTCGCTGCTTTCTAGAGCTCCAACAGTCGCAAACATGGCAGCCGTCTCCGCAGCTGGCATTCCTCCAAATGCGACGTGAGTACTATCTTATACTTTCATTATAAATTCCCATGCTAACAAGTCTTTGCAGAGTATATGTGCGCTTGTCCCTCCCCTCTATCAGATCACCACTTCGCTTCCGCATTGCCATACTGACAGATTTCTTCGCTATGATTAGGTCAAGAATCTAGACGAACGGATTAAGATTGACCAGTTGAAGCATGCCTTGGAGGAGATCTTCTCCGAATATGGCACCATTCTAGAAGTCGTCGCAAAGACCAACCTCAAAGCCAAGGGCCAGGCCTTCATCGTCTTTGACAATGTAGACTCCGCTACCCGCGCTATTGAGGATATCAATGGCTTCGATCTCTTTGAGAAGCCTATGGTGCTAGATTACGCGAAGACACCCAGTGATGCGACAGTCCAGCGGGAAGGTGGCAGCGACGAGCTGGAGGCTCACAAGCGGAGACGCTTAGCTGAGAAAGGTACGTTGAACAGACGCTGGCGTACTATGTAGAAAGACTCAACTCATACTAAATCCGGTTGTTCGACAGAGCGCAAACAAGCCCACGAGGCCCTCGAAGCACAGAAGAAACTCAAGCGTCCTGCTGCCGCTGCCGAACCCTCACGCCCTGCCAAGACCACCAAAGGTGCCGGTCTCAAGCCCACCACTGCTGCCACAACCGCTGTCGTTCCCGACGAGTACCTCCCCCCCAACAAGATTCTGTTCTTGCGGGAACTGCCGGACGACGCAACCCAAGAAGGTCTGTCTGCTATCTTCGGGCGGTTCGAGGGATTCCAGGAAGTCAGATTGGTGCCCGGTCGCAAGGGAATTGCATTCGTCGAGTACGAGGCCGAGGCTGGAGCAATCAGCGCGAAGGAGGCTACATCGGGCATGCCAATGGGCGACCAGGGCAAGGCGATTCGCGTTACCTACCAGCGACAGTAGTCATGGGTGGTTTGTTGCATCCTACAAAATATCCCGGTCTTGTTCTTTCTGGCGTTTGGAAGGTCTTGTCTCAAATACGTGTGTATAAGAAATACGGAGATTTATCAATGTTCTCTCGCTATCGCAATGCGTCAAGTATGCGTGTCACATGAATTTCAATAGCTCCAAAAGTAGATGAAACGAGCCATAGGGCTAAAACGAGTTCGAGCATACAAAGTGGTACATGTCACAGTCAAACAAGATGTCAAAAAAAAAAAGAAAAATAGTATCAGTACGAAAGAAAATGGCAGTCTAGAAAATAACATCGTTGTCTTCCTGTTCGCCCAGCACATCTGCCGTCTCTTCCTCTTTGACGAAGACAGCAGTAGCAACAGGTACCTTAGGGTCTACTGCTTGCTCTTCTGCGGCCTTTTGCCGGGCCGCCAGAATCTCGGCGTCCGCGGCGGCAACGTCTCTCTGCTTTTTGCCTGAAACCTTCTTCAGGCGGTAAAATTCCTCTCGGTCGAGCTCATCCAGTTCAGAGTTGATGTCTTCAGAATGGTTAGCCTGTGCAAAGAACATTCGAAGTAGATGGTACAAACAATTGATGGTGTTCTCAGTTCGAGGAATGATAACATGCTCACTATTGAAGGCATGTTAGTATCCCAAGTAAGGACCAAATTCACGAGTTCCAATCTTACATCGCATTTACTGTAGCATGCAAGTTAGTTACCAACCGTAAACCGTCACAATCTATGAGAAAATGACTTACCTCTTCGGTTGACAACCTTGATCACCTCATCCAGAATCAGGAAAGCAGTCTGGCACAGTTTGTGAGCAAGATCCCAATACATTGCATAGATGCTATGCATACCTGTAAGCTCGCCAGTTCCACCAATGTCTCCACGGCCCGTGCGTATGTCTCCCGACAACGTTGAATCTGCTGTCCTCCCTTTCCTAGACCTGTCAAACCAAAGTCATTGACGCCATCTTGCGTGTAGCTTTCAAATGCAGGCAGAAGGACACCGGAGACGTTCTCTTGCTTGGCTCGCACACGGAAACGAGCCTGCTTGGCGGATTCCTGGATCTGGTAGCCAATATCTCCGCCTACTGCATAGCTCACTTCGGCCAACGAGAAGGCAGCAATCTGCATGACCCGACCCATCTTTTGTTTGGCTTCATCGATGCGGCGTGTGATGTCTGTCGAAGTATGATTAGCACCTCGATAAGGTGGGGACTGGGAATGTGTCGCATCATACCTCGGAAACGTCTGTCGGATAGAGGGTTAGCATATCTCTAACAAGCAAGAAAAGCACAAAAGTCCTACTTTGTTAGAGCTTCACTCTTTCTCTTTAGTAGACTGTGGCCAATCTCCGCCCCCTTCAGCTTGTTCTTCATTAACCCCAATGATTGGCGAGTTGGGAATACTGCCTCTCGGCCCTGAATAGAGGTCAGATGAAACCAATAAGAGAGTTCATTTCTACAACAAGCTCACCACAGCGCCGGACATGATTGCAGCAGAACAAAGATCACAATATAGTCCTTGTTGTTCAGCTAGAGCAACGCGGCCACATTGGTATGACGCCGATGAAGCTCCACCGCCCACCTGATACAAATCAATCACGTGCCACAATCAACGTAGGAACCTCATCCGTCAACAGGTGTGGCTTTAAACGCGCACGCCAGCAGTCTCTTGTTTATGCAATTTTCCTTAATGCTGACACGTTGATCGTGTAACTGGATTTCGCTCGACTGAGTGGCGCAATGCCAGGGACACTTTTGCCCCCGAGATCCCACCGGCAGCACGCAGAGATGGATCGATCATCTGTGTCCCGGCCGGACCTCTACTTGATTGTAAGTTTTGACCCATTGGACCATTTGAACTTGAAGCTTACTTGCATTTTATCGCTAGACTGATCAGGACATCATCTACGAGCAAGATCTGCTTCGTGACGCTAGCAGTGTCAAACCATGGCTTGCCTACATCGAATTCAAACAGCAAAATGGCACGCTTTATGAGCAAGCATTTGTATGTCCTCACCCATCACAACTCAGTCGCAAAGGATCCTCACTAATCGGATGGCTTTAAATAGGTCATGGAGCGTGCTTGCAAGCAACTACCGCGTTCCTACAAGCTCTGGAAGATGGTAAGTGACAATTTCTAGAAAAAAATTCAAGTTTCTGCTTTAACTGACTGTCCTAGTATCTGGAGTTCCGAACAAAGCACTTGAAGGGCCGCAATCCCACGGTCTATCGTGCCGAGTACCAGAAAGTCAACGCACTCTTCGAACGAGCCCTCATTCTCCTGAATAAGATGCCGCGCATCTGGGAAATGTACCTCTCCTTTCTGCTCCAGCAGCCCATGGTGACCCAGACTCGTCGAACCTTTGATCGTTCTCTTCGTGCTTTGCCGGTCACACAGCACAACCGAATCTGGAGGTTGTACAAAGGCTTTGCTCGGTCTGCTTCCGGACAGACTGCCATCAAGATCTTTGCTCGGTATATGCAAATCCACCCCGAGAACATCGAGGATTACATAGAGCTTCTCGTTGACAACGGTGAATATACGGAAGCCGTGAAGAAATTCATGGATATTCTCGACGACCCACGATTCAAGTCCAAACATGGCAAGGGTCCATTCCAGCTATGGTCGGAGATGGTTGATCTACTAGTCTCCAAGGCTAAGAAGATTGAAACCGGCCCTCGGGTCGGAATTGATGTTGACGCCATTCTCCGAAGTGGTATCCAGCGCTTTGCGGACCAAAGAGGCAAGCTATGGGCCGGGTTGGCCACATACTGGATCACTAAAGGCAACTTCGAGAAGGCACGAGATGTCTTTGAGGAAGGAATTACTACTGTCATGACGGTTCGTGATTTTACGCTCATCTTTGACTCTTATGTCGAGTTCGAGGAGTCCATCATTGGAAGCCTGATGGAAAGCGCAGCTGTCCGCTCTGACAAGGGCAAATCTGACGAGGATGCTGACTTTGATCTCGACCTCCGCATGCTGCGTTTTGAGCAGCTGATGGACCGCAGACCATTCCTGGTGAACGACGTACTCCTACGTCAGAACCCTCACAACGTCATCGAATGGGAAAAGAGAGTGGCACTCTGGGGGGATAACAAGGAAGAAGCTGTCCGCACTTACACCGATGCCATTGCTGCAATTAATCCTAAGAAAGCGCTCGGAAAATTCTCTGAGCTTTGGGTCAATTATGCTAGGCTTTATGAGAACGGCGGGGACTTGGATACTGCAAGAGTTATTTTCGATAAGGCTATTAAAGTTCCGTTCAAATCTGTGGCGGAACTGGCAGAGACCTGGTGTGAATGGGCTGAAATGGAGCTCCGCGCCGAAAATTTCGACAAAGCAGTCAGCATCATGGCGAAGGCGACACAGGCACCGAAGAAATCGACGGTGGATTACTTCGACGAGACACTGTCTCCACAGCAAAGAATCCACAAGAGCTGGAAATTATGGAGTTTCTACGTTGACCTCGTTGAGAGTGTTTCGTCTTTGGATGAGACAAAAAAGGTCTACGAGCGGATCTTCGAGCTTCGTATCGCGACACCCCAGACTGTCGTCAATTATGCCAACCTTTTGGAAGAAAACAAGTACTTCGAAGAGTCTTTCAAGGTATACGAGCGAGGCTTGGATCTTTTCATGTATCCAGTTGCATTCGAACTCTGGAACTTGTACTTGACCAAGGCTGTGGACCGGCAGGTTGGCATTGAGCGACTCCGAGACCTGTTTGAGCAGTCCTTGGAGGATTGCCCCCCCAAATTTGCCAAGTCTCTTTACCTGATGTACGGTAACTTGGAAGAAGAGCGCGGTCTTGCACGACACGCAATGCGGATCTACGAGCGTGCGACTCGGGCAGTGTCGGACGAGGACCGCTTCGAGATGTTTGAATTTTACATCACAAAATCGGCGTCCAACTTCGGTCTCACCTCTACTAGACCGATCTACGAGCGCGCCATTGCCGCATTGCCCGACCAAGAGGCCAAAGAGATGTGCCTCAAATTCGCGGAGATGGAGCGACGACTTGGTGAGATCGATCGTGCTCGCGCGATCTATGGCCACGCATCTCAATTCTGCGATCCACGGACAAACGCCCCCTTCTGGCAGAAGTGGGAGATATTCGAAGTTAACCACGGGAACGACGATACTTTTGGCGAGATGATTCGTATCAAGCGAAGTGTTCAAGCCCAATACAAGTATGTGAACTACCAGCACAAAATCCAATAACTCATTTTCTAACGTTATTAACAGCACCGATGTCAACTTCATTGCATCACAAGCCATTGCTAGGAGCCAACAGCAAATCCAGACAGGTGAACAAGGCGAACGCGACGAGGATCAACAACGCGCAGATGCCATGGCGGAATTGGAGCGTCAAGCTCGTGCCCCAGTTGGCTTCGTGGCTGCCACCAGCGGTCCGGAGGGCGGTAACCGTCCTCCACCTACCGGCCAAGGGCCAGCTACTGCCGAGGCCAACCCCGACGCTATTGATCTTGACATGGACGATGAATAGATGGAAAAGTTGACATGCGTCATTTTGTCAAGAGAAAGGGAACATTTTGTGAAATTTGCTGACTTGATCTCCCATCTCCTTGTTTTTGTGTCTCGTCCGTCGAATTGTATGTTGTATACTTGCTATCTCCACGCATTCTAGTATGAGTGTTTGTGATTGGTCGCCACATCAGTCCCTTTTCTCTGCTCCCAGCACACTGCATCTCAAATCACGACTGCCTTCTCCGTTCATTAACCAGGGGGCTCAGTGCTCTCTGATTTTCCGTTCGATTTCACATTGTTTGTCTTGAGATACCTGACTCACTGTGGTGTTTTAGTGTTGTATCCGTATGTGCATAGATTTCCCAAAGCAATGATACACCCGTGCCGCGTCTTGTCTAGCTCGATGTGTTGTAACTACGAATGTCTATTCTATTGGTGAACTCCAATTGAGCCTTACGTTGGTTGGTATGGAACCAGCCTTGACATTCGCACATCACAGGTACAAAGAAAGTAAACAGAAACATGGGTAGTCTTCTCGCACGCAGCGCCGATCATCATATCGAGCTATATCTACATGTGGAACATGTACTCCTGTGCTATCCCAAGGTAAAGGTGAAAAGAACAGGGGAGTCAAAAGATTAAAAGAGATACATCATAAATCCACGGAAATGGTTGGACACTCCTTATGAGATGGTTTCCTCTGCTTCTTGAGGAGTTGGGCTGTCGGCATTAGCAGCCTCCTTTGCGTCTTCAGTGTCCTGCTGGAGCGCAGTATCTTTGCTCTTTTCATCTGCCTTCTCTGAATCACGGGGCTGCTCTGGAGATGAGACGGCAGAGTCTGGAGACTCTTCGAGCTCGTTGGGAGTATCGGGGAAGATCTCCGAGAAAAGATCGGGCAAGAAGCGGCTAAGGCGTTTGCGGGTCTCGACCCATATTTCCTCCTTGCTTGGATCTTCGGATGGGGATACGAGGTAGCCTCCATCAGCCATGACGAGAAGGATGTTCTTCAAGCTTTCGGGGACTGCTTCTGCCTACGAGTTTGAGAAGAAGACAGGTTAGAAGATGGGATCCTGATGCACTTGAGTCCTCGGGTGGAATACCAGACTTACCAGACTATCACCCTGACCACTGTTCATCATACGGTCAAGAATATCAAGGATCCTTAGCCAGAGAGGGAGCATGCCTGTCCGATTGGGAAACTGGTCAAGGAAGCGCAGGAAGAACTTGCAGACTAACGTTGCGGCTTGGAATCGGGTCTCACTCATACCAACAGGGTCGGATTGATAGACCTCTGGCTTCAAAAGGAGTAGGACGAGCGGGAATAAGACTTCATCGAAGATGCTAGTCCACTCCTTGTCATCGCTTGAGATAAGTTCGGCAGATAGAAGAGATCGCTGCAGCGTGGAAATAGCATGGTGTCGGATATCGCGACATGGGTTGATGCATTGACCGGTTAAGGATTGGAAGATAGGCGACCAGTAGGCGGCCCAGGCTAGAAATTTACATATTAGAGACTTGCTGCAATGTATATCTTAGAGGATCGTTCGTTACCTTCGTTCTCCTCAAGGTGAGATTGTTTGATTAGAGCCGGGACTCGTCCAGTCAGATGATAGATCAAGCCAATTGCCTTGACGCCGCGTGTCACAACCTGGTTTTCACTAGGGGAGGAGAGGTAAGTATTAATACTGGAGAGGGTTGCATATTATCCTTACCTCGGCTTGGATTGTTTGACCCCCTTATTACGACGGGCCTGGGCATCCCTGTGTCGTTCTTCGATAGATCCCACACTTCCGGCGCTAACGAAGTCGTTGGCCAAGCTGACTACGAACTCATAGTTGTCGGCCGTGATGATATCGGGCATTGACTCAACGATGCTTTGTAGAAGATCAAAGACAAGGGAAGCGACTGCCTCGTGCTGATGAAGTCTTTGCAAAATTGACCAGAAATCCGGAGAAATTGTGATCTCGTTTCGTAGACGACCTGTATGAGCAATGCAC